GAGATGAAACAAAATTGTGTACTCAATATCCCAGTTCCATTGATAAGTGTGACTCCACTCGGCTGTCGTCTTATCGGCTCTTCTCAGGTGTAGGTGATTTACCACCGTGACTTGTCTCGCCCCTCTGTGGGCAAGATCTTCAATGCAAAGTGAGCAGTATCATAACAGGTCATTGTGTTTGAGCCACTCTGCCCATTGTGGTCCTTAATTCCCCTATAATCGAACTTCAGTTTCTTTAGCTTATCCCGGCAGGTGTAGCCATGCTGTGCCATCATATCTGATATCTCTCTGTAAAGGCACTCATTTCTTGTAGCGTCATCCGTCATCATGATCAGAGAGAAAATGGTGGTTCAGTTTTAGTTTGTAGTTTTACAGGGCAGGTCATTTAGTGACATAGCTCTGCTGGTCCACCAACGGCTACTACCTGCTTATGTCAAAATTGGCCTTCTGAGCAGTCTGCTTGGAAGCACAAACAAGGTGGCCTTATAAACTGGCTGATTGGGGTGGGTACCAGCAGTCGGCAAGGTCTTAAGTTGTGTGGTGTTATGTTAAGCCGATGAGAGTTGAGGTAGTGGTAAAGCACTACTAGTGTTGGCATGGTACCCATTGCTGCATCCTGACATGGTCCACAAGAGCCATGCCACAGCCGAAACATTGGGTGAAGTAAATAGTGTGTAAGAAGCAGGATAGCATCTCGGGAACATGGAAAAATAGCAGGAAACACTTTATTTAGCATTAGCTAAAAGCTCAGCAACACCATGGTTCACTTCACACTAAAGGAGATTTTCCAAACTGATAGGATCCAGCCACATTTTGATAGATCATAAATAAAGTGCTATGGCTCTTAGATATGTCCATTAGAGAGGTAGGGTGAGAAGCCCAGTCATTTGGGAGGGACTCAGAGTAGAGTCACTGCTTCTCCATGTCGAGAGGAGCCAGTTAAGGTGGCTCGGGCATCTGGTTAGGATGCCTCCTAGACGCCTCCCTGGTGAGGTGTTCCGGACACGTCTCACTACTGGGAGGAGACCCAGAGGAAGACCCAGGACACGCTGAAGGGACTATGTTTTTCGACTGGCCTGGGAACGTCTTGGGATTCCCCTGGAGGAGCTGGCCCAAGTGGCTGGGAGAGGGAAGTCTGGGCCTCCCTACTTAGGCTGCTACCCCGCGACTCGACCCCGGATAAGCGGAAGAAAATGGATGGATGGATGGATGGATGAAGTGCTATGTGTTGTCATCATTGTATGTTCCCATACAATGGTGAAATTAGTTCTCTGCATTTAACCATCACACCTGGGATACACCCAGGTGGAGCAGTGGGCATCTATGTAAGTGCCCAGGGAGCATTAAGGGATTGGGTGTCCTGCTCAGAGACACCATGACATGTGGGAATGGCTGGGGATCGAACCTGGGACTTTCGGGTCCCGAGTCGGCTGCCCTGCCTCTACCACATCTCGACCCCGCATGGTAGCAATAGACAGCATCATTAGCTCATCATCCTGTCTAAAATGTACCTAAATCTATACAAACGTCAACATCTACCAATGTCTTTAAAGCATATGAAGTTTAAAAAAAAGGTTTAAAAACAAAAACAACTGAACTTCTATTCGCTGAAGATGTTTTGCTTCCCATCCGGGAGGCTGTATTAATTCAGAAATGTCTGAAGTGTGTGGAGGTATCCAGACATTTTTCAAGCATCAAAATAGTTTGGTCTGCTGAGATATTTGTTGGTCATGTTGAAGATTTTGTTTTGTAGTGATGATTTATTTTTCATTGTAGGTTTATGGATGCTTGTCTCAAGAGGGAAACCATGCCAGGAATATCTGCCTCTATTCTGCATTTTTTGTTGCTCAAAGTTACTCAAACAAGCATGCATACATTTATATGTACACTTGAATATATCAAATGGCAACTAAAGCACATGTAGTTAATACGAAATTTCTTATCAGAAATAAATAGCCTTTTTTTTTCTTTAGGTCTGAAGACTTTCGGCACAATGTGTGGCAGATACCTATTAGAAAACCTTTTCATGTTTATTTTGTTATAGGTGAAAACATGAAAACCTTACTCAGTTCATGAGCATAATTAAAACACTGAGAGAAAATAAAACAAATGGAAATAAACCAGGATTGTGTGTTTGGTGTGTATTCACATGCTAAGAAGCCTCTACTAGTTCACATCTCCTCAATACCCACAATATTAGTTAAGCTCCTCAGCTAATAGCTCTCCTCCTTCTCCTCCATCCTTTGCTCGACTTGGACTGCTAATTATGCAAAGTGTGGGGTTCACTGAGAAACATACTGTACACACAAACACACACTGAATGACAAGTAGCAGCTTAATTACCATTTGAATTGACATCTTCAGAGCTGCTCATAGCTCTCTGTAGAGGTGCAAATCATAGACGAGCACACAGGGAGGCTGCCGCTGGCCCAGAGTTTTGTTTGTTTCAAAGAGTTTGTGGTGTGTGTTCATCCAGCTTTAAACACGGAGTGCCGTCACCTGCACAACATCTTCCAGATGTGTGGTATTCACTGAATAATGAGTGAGGATGATGATTATCACAGCAGCAGCCTTCACTTTCAGCAGAGCTCAGTTAGCACTTTGCTAATTGTGAGAATGTTTATAAAGCATTCACACTATTGAGATCCGATTTTCTTCCGTACGGTTTTGTCACGTAACTTTTCCCCCAATTTTTGTGTTAATTCAACAATTCATATATCAAAATGTTCAGCTCATTCAGTACATTCCTGCTATGCCTTTTGGTATTTGTGCAGTATTTTTTTTCATGTATTTAGTACTTTCAGCCATGTTTTTCTCATTGAACATGAATGGAGCTCTTTTTACAGCCTTCAAACACTTTGAGCTGTTTAAGACCGTTTACAGGGCATTTCAGCTGTTGTTCTGGTTCAGCTTTTTTCAGCTTTCTTTAGCTCTTTTCATCTTCCTTCTGCTTCTTTCAGCTCCTCCCTGCTAATTTCAGCTTTTTTATTCCTTTTTCAGCTTCTTTCAACCAATTTTAGCTTTTTTATGCACTTTTCAGCTTCTTTCAGATACATTCAGCCTTTTCTCTGCTTTTCAGCCACATTTTTCGGTATTTTTCAGCTAATTTTATTTTTTTCCTTCTTTTTTCCCTCAATTTCAGCCTTTTGTACTTCTTTCTAATAATTTAAACATTTTGTGCACCTTTCAGCCTCTTCTGCTAATTTCAGCTTTTTGAGAACCTGCTCATTTTATCTCTTTTTCCATGAGTCCCACATAACCCTGCTCAGGTCAAACCAGCGCAGGTTCAAAGGTTTTTCATAGGGAGATCCTACCTGCTTCTAACTCGGTCCTCAGGACCTTTAATCTGGGGCTCCAGGCGCGCTGCACTAAGCTGAGGAGTTCATGTTAGCAGATTGCGGGTCATTGATCGAGTCACGTCACTGGGAGTGACTTCGTTAAAACTGCCATGTTCATCCGCCACACCAACTTGCTTTCTTCATTTATGTTTTTATTTATTTATTTTTATCTAAACCGTGTAAACCTTTTCTGGCCCTCTTTTAACTCATGTACGACTAACCATAGATCGAGCACCAGACCATACCGTAACCTTGGTGTCTTTTAATTCAATTCAGTTTATTTATTTAGCACCAAGTCACAACAGAAGTCGTCTCAGGGCACTGAACAGAAACATTCACATACGTACATGAAAAAGCCAATTCATAAAACTTCTCTATCTAAAGAAACCAGCAGACTGTGCTGAGTCTTCACTTCGTCACAGTCTCCCATCCTGAGCAAGCACAAAGGTAACAGTGGAAAGAAAAACTCCCCTTTAAGAGGAAGATACATCCAGCAGAACCAGGCTCAGGACGAGCAGCCACCTGCTTCGACCGGTTGGTTTGAGAGGACAGGAAGGAGAAATGAGCACAGAATGGCAGGTCCAGGTGAACTTGCTATAGGAGGAAAGACAAAAACATGTTAAGATATAGATAATTGTAAGTACACAACAGGTAGAAATACTGTTGGGGTTATGCAAACGTCCTATTTAGTGAGGTTCCAAGTGAAGTATTTTTGTAGTTTTTGACATCTTGTTTCTCTAACACTCACAGCTCAGTGGGCTACTAACTTAAGAGAGCCATCCAAAAACACACCGCCTGTAGAGGTAGTTAATTGTTTTTTTAATGTTTGAGCTCATTTGAGAATTGATGGCAGAACAAGCGAAGTAGTACTGTCTAGAAGTAAGTAGGAAATGGTGATCCAGGGTTTCATTATTCTCACAGAATGGACCTTACAGCAGCTCTGCGGCCAACACTGACAACATGTTGGGGCTTTTATAGCAGCACAACACTTAGTGAGCTGAATGGATGAGTAATTTCACACAGCTTGCATGTTCATTTTACAATTCATCATTTGAATTTTGACATCAACTCGAAGAAATAATCCAATTATACTTTTAACGCGTCACCTTTTAGATGAGTAAGCATTCCTCTTTTTAAATGGATGTGAAAATGGTGCTTCTTTGGTGTCAGACTACAATTAACCAGATGTAAAATATCATTAATTGTACAACTTATTTATTTTCCTCGTACGATTGTACAACCTTCTCATCTAAACCCACTGTTCTTTTCTTGAGGCTAAAAGGCTCGTCTTTTTTCTTTTAAAAGCTGAGGTGACAAACCTTGTATTTCATGGTTGGATGCATTTTTTAATCTGTCTCTTTCTACCCAAGAGGCTCCCAGTGTGCTGTCGGTTTTCTGTCCACTCACTCTGCTTCTCTCCTCCAATTCAAAGTCTAAAGAATAAGAAAAAAATATTCTGGCTCAGCTTCTTCTATAGTTTCGTAACATGTGTATTTGTATTGTTTAAAGATACGGTGTGTGATTCTTTTATTATTATTTGATGGTGCTACAGTGTTTTTATGTACACTTGCATATTCCACTTGGATTTCTTTCCTTTTTCCACATCACCTTGTGTTTGCTTCAGAAAATGTTCCATTCAGGCCATTCTTTCCTTTCTTGCAGAGGCATCGATTCTGTCTTACGACGGCAGCATGTACATGAAGGTGGTGATGCCGAACATCATGCACACCGAAGCCGAGGACGTCTCCCTTCGCTTCATGTCTCAGAGGGCCTTCGGTTTGCTCATGGCCGCCACGTCCCGTGAGTCCGCCGATACCCTGCGGCTTGAGCTGGACAGCGGGAGGGTCAAACTGACGGTCAATCTAGGTATCGTATAATTCGTCGCCGTTGGCTCGCCCCAACCCTTCAAGATCCAGGGGTGGCCTAATTTGCTTGTCTTTTTTTCTTGGTTGGTTTCTTGGTGTCTTTTCTTTACAGCTGAGATAAAACCTAACGTATTACTTATTTTGTAGATTGTCTTTGTAGTTGCATGTCCTGTTTTTAACTTGCCTGGACTGTACATTTTCTTCGGCCTTGATGCGTCGATGTCTTTGTAGAATTTTTCATGCATCAGTCTAATGCAAGTTTTGAACACATTGAACTAGCCATGCTCATTATCGTGTAAACACGGACATTTTTCAAGTAGGTATCTCTGCAGACAAATACAGAAGACGTATCTGGAGGACCATATCTGATTGGACAAAAAAAAGTGTTATTGGCAGATTGTGTTAACCATAGATATATTATGTCTATGGTGTTAACCGGGTCGACATTAGCAGTGTCTCCGATTCGACATTGGTGGCATCTCCTTACCTTCTCTTTCCGCCTCTCTTAACACAGAACTTCCAGTTCTGTTTCAAAATAAGCACAACATAAATGGGTAGTGGGGAGGACTAAATGTTTGTTTTTTAATACCTAGCCATTACTTTAAAAAACAAAATCCATTTTGGTTTTTGAATAATGTGAAAATAGTTACAATTAATTCATAAATAAAGAAAAATAAAGTAACCAAAATAATAATGATACTTAAACTGGCCTTGGTACAAAGGATGTTTCCTTTAACTTCACATTTTCTTGTTCAACCTGCAGTCATTGCAGATGAGTGATTGACAGTTTCTATACGATTTCTGCAACTGGAGCAGGTATTTCTGTTTACTGGTTAACTTCCTCAGCTGTCTCACATTTTAAGGGTCAGTCCTACTCCATGTTTCAGCTCCTGTCATAGATCAGATCTCATAGAAGAACTTCTAAAGAGCAAATTTTGTTTTCACCTTTTGTTTTGGGCCATTATCTCGTTACAGGACTCATGATCTTTAATTGAGACCAGACTTTTTGGACAAATAGGAGCAGGTTTCGCTTCAGATGCTTCATATTTCATTGTACCCAGACCACACTCAAGCCAACCTGTGTCAGGTGCAGCCTACAACCCAAGAAATAGAGAATCTTCTTGTGTTTGACAGCAGATATAACGATGTTTCTTAGAAACCTTCAGTTTTATAAAAAGAGCTGAGGTAACTTACCTAAAGAGCAGCAAATACAGCTAACTAATCAGTGTTTGTCCTCTACAAACCCCTATTCTCCAGAAACGCCCACTTTTCGTCTGCAGAGAACCCCTTCTCACATTTTTGACAAAGAGGCATTTTACGTCTTTGATAATAAATGGCACCATTGACACGTTCTTCTAAATCATATTGTAGCATTTACTTGCTTTTATGCCATCTATCTGAGATTTCTACATCTTAATGCTGCACCAACATTTTGCATTTTTATTTTCGTTTCTGTGTTCATTTTTGTTTTTTTTCCCCTCGTACTAGAGGGTTCATGTTTTCTCTCTGTTCATTTGTAACCTTTGGTCTCTCTGGCATATCCCGTGCCTTGTTCAAAGATGGCTCTCACCCCTTCAAAGGCCCAGAGCCTGCGGCCCGTCTGGCAAACAGCCTGATGCCACAGCACCCAGCATGCCTGCAGCTGGTGGCGCGAGTGGTAGTAGCAGAGTGCAGTAAAGCAGAAGGATTTACCAGTGAGCTAGGAATAGATACACTCAGCAGAACGCATGGGGAGAGATTCTGGCCCTGTCTGCACTAACAAAGAGTTAGCAAAAACAAAACTAAACAAAACAAGTATTTTTATTTATTTATTTAATTATTTTTGCACCTTGCATTCACGTACAGCTCTTATGTTGTGAGCAGGTGACATTTTTAGAATAAAAAATTATAGGTGTATCCCAGTGGTTGAACCAACAGGTATTGTAAGAAACAATGACTCTACTATACCTGACGACATTTGACTAAACCTTGGAACTTTTTTTGGGTCAGCATTGGTTGTGCTTGTAAAGATTGAAAATAAATTATTAATATTATTAAAGAAGGAATAAAAATGCCCAGAATAATGTATAAAGAATTTTCAGCCATTCTTAGTATGTCTTTTTTTTTTAATGATATTAATGCTGTCACTATTTCCACTTAAAGGTGACACAGTTGGTAGAGCTGCTGCCTCTCAGCGAGCAGGTCCCCGGTTCAAATCCCGCTCCAGGGGCCTTCCTAGGTGGAGTTTGCATGTTCTATCCGTGCATGCGTGGGTTTTCTCTGGGTACTCCAGTTTCCTCCCACAGACCAAAACATGCATGTTAGACTAACTGGTAACTCTAAATTGTCCCTAGGTGTGAGTGAGAGAGTGAATGGTTGTTTGTCTCGTTTGTCTCTATGTGTCCCTGTGATGGACTGGAGACCTGTCCAGGGTGTACCCCGCCTCTCTCACAGTGATGACTGGACATGGGTACCAGTGACCCCCGTGACCCGAAAAGGAAGAAGCCGGTAAAAAATGATGGATGGATGGATTTATGGATGGTTGGTTAGTTGGTTTGTTTGTTGGTTTGTTTGTTTGTTTGTTTGTTTGTTTGACACAAGTATTGAAGCTATTTTGTTAGAAGTTTGGAAGTTGAAGCTGCTCCTTTCAGGCTGGAGCCAGTAAAGTTTTTAAGTCCCGCCCCACCAAGTAAACAAAGAGAACATTTTCCTGACTTAAAAATAAAAAGCATTAATTTTGGTGACACTTTTTTACCATACCATACCACTTTATTTATAAAGCACTTAAAACAGCTACAAAGCCAACCAAAGTGCTGTACAGACAAAACAACAGGTAACACACAAAGCAAAATACAAAATGAGGTAAATCATTTTAGTGGTTGATTTGTTGATTCATGTAGTTCTTACCTTGCTGCCATATGTTAAAGCATTTATTTTTCGCTCACGTTTAGCTGTAATTAGTTATTGCTTCAAAAAAGATAGTGACTCTATAACTCTGTGCACGTGGGACTTTCATATTGAGGGTACAGCCCCAGTTTGCATGCTCTGGAGACTGGAGATATTTTGACTTTACTTTTGTACAACAGAGTTAGACTAAGAGGCATCCTCTATCTTCATTTACACCCTATGAGTTGAAGCAGTTTTTATTTTTCAAATAGGGAAAAACAAATCCAGCGTAGTGTAGTCGGGGCCACAGAATGTCCAGTGCTATGCACTTAACAGAACATTAGTAGCCTTTTAATTATAAATATGGTCTTTTACAAGTTCTTTTCTGCATTCAGAGAAAATTTACAAGAGCCAGATTTTTCCCAACTTACTCAGGACCTTCTGTGAGACGATGGGCTGAGTGGTGGTGGGGGGTGGGGGGTGGGGGGGTCTTCAGGCCTTTGAGCAGTGTTGGTGTTGCGTGGCAAAAGGCTGTTTGCTTCCACTTTTCTGTTGCGGTTGACGGCACATGAACTTCCTGGTCACATGGATTTTGACGTACCAGACAACTGAAGCCTCTTTACTATATATATATTTTTTGTAAAATATGTATAAAATGATCATTTTTCCCACAAGTTATTTATCTTGTAATGCTTGATGGACTAATATTTGGGGCTCCACGAGCTGGGTTGCAAAATCGATGTGGCCAGTTAAGAGCAGACGGCCATTTTGACATCTGCCAAACCACTTTGATGAGCTAACTTTTAGAATAAAGTATTTCAATTCACTCAAGTAACTTGTGACATCATGATGAATACAGCATTTTAGAAACATAACAAATTTTGACTTGCCACAACAAAACTGACCATCAGTTTCCAAAGTGGTGAAAAATGGCCGCTGGCGTCATGTGCCCGTCCCCGGAAGGTGGCTTTACTTGCTCTTTGGATGTCTGCAGCTGTAACCTTGAAGGATGCGATTTCATCTGTCACTTGTTCTCCCCTCCCCCGTCTAGACTGTGTCAGGATAAACTGTAACACCAGTAAGTCAACACTCTTCTTCTGCAGCCTTCACTCTGTTTGGTTGTGGCGTGTAGCAGAGCAGCAGGTGTAGCAGCAGGGGCGGGTGGATGTAGGGGGACTGATGGGATGAGTTCTCAGAGATGAGGGAGGAATCAAGACATAGCCAGAGATCAAAGCTATGCAAGTCTTACTTAATGTTCTTTATATTCTAAATGACCTATTTTTTAATTAAACAAGCCAGCAAGTTGTATTAGTTTTTATAGCTTATAGCTACAAACTGAACTTTTGCACTTTCAGGATTTATAAGCAACATTTTTAATTTATTTATTTACACCATGGTGTACTGCACTGTTTATGTCTTAATCTATAAATGCTGCAGTAAATAGATATGTGCTTTGATACTTTGATATTGTGTTTGGAGACATGTTCTTACTCATAAAAAGGACTCAATCATTTATAGTTCTTTTGCTAAATTTAGGAGAAAATAGAAGAAATAATTCATAATGAGGCAGCTCTTTGCAGATACAGTTGTCCCTCGTTTATTGCGAGGGTTCCGTTCCACCACCACACCCCCTGCGATAAGTGAAAACCAGGGGTCTGCAACCTGCGGCTCTGGAGCCACATGCGGCTCTTTGGTCCCTCTGCAGCGGCTCTTTCAAGCTTTGACCAAAACTAAAATAAAACTGAATTTTATTGGTTGTTATACAAACAACTAAAAGGACTAGTTGTAGCAGTGTTCCTGTAATTTATTTTGCAAATATATGAGTACTAGAAACATTACAAGGAGTAAAACATACTCACTTTCACTTTCTGCTTTATTTCTTCAAAGTAGGGTACGTAATTTTTCTACATAAAAAAACAAACAAACAAAAGGTTGTGTTAGTTTTTAGAAACTGGGCAAAAACTATATTATTTTTTCTTCTTTACAAGAATCTTGTTCTTTATTTTGTCTTAGAGTGTAAAAATATCAATAAATGTTAAAAGTCATTAGATATTTTTAGTTATATAAAATAACCCCTACTGTCCAGAAAATCACCCTCCAACAAACTTAAAGTGGTCTGTGGGCCACCAGTTGAGAATCCCAGTTGTAGCAGGTATTGTGGCGCCAGACACATTTAATTTAGTGAATGAAGGGGCAGAAATGGCTCTTTGATCTTAAAGGTTGCAGACCCCTGTTCTAAACTCTTACACCTACATCATTTTAACAACATACATACTGTATGTGTAGCTCACCGGGCTCTGCAGAACACACAGCAACAACTCTCCTTCCAATCGACTCGGTTCTGTTGGACCCAGTTTGTTTCTGCAGCGTGACCTAACTTGCATCAACAAAGACCAAAGTCAGTCCTCTAAACACTTAACCTACTAATTTTAACAACATACATTTTAACATAGCTAATACATGTTATTTACAAGTGCGTCCCTGGAGCTCTTGGGTTCGCTGCTGAGGCTGGAGGTCCGGTTCTGGTCGAAGCACTTTTTTTTGTGTGTGTGTGTGTGTGGGGGGGGGGGGGGGGGGGTACTGGCATGGGACCGTAGGTTGTCGAACTGAGTCCAAATCTGGATGCAAATAGTCCTGATGGGCTAAAAGCAACTCCAGACCTTTCATGTGTGTCCCCGCATAGAAGTCCTCATGTACTCAAGATTCACTGACGGGTCTGGAGGTCTGGTTCTGATCCAGTTCTGGTCCATTTCAGTGGACTCAACGTGGCTTCTCTGTATCCGTTGGGCGCCAGTCAGATCAAAACTTTACTGTACCTCTGTTTTTTTCTGCAGAAGGAAATGGGACTTCTGGGCAGGGCCCTGTTGCCTTCTGGGAAATGTGGTCATTATGAGTGGGAATACAGTGGAGGCTTACTGAGAGAAAACTACAAAATGGTGGCACCTGACCGTTTTATTTTTTCGTTAACATTTTACTCTACAGTACTGTATCCAGTACTGTCCCGATCACATGAGTAATATTAATTCATCATTTTTTAGGGGGTCCAATATTACTTTATATATTATGGACTGTACGTCACAAACTGTGATAGAGCGAGTCCATGAAAGTGGAACTGCGATGTAGCGAGGGACTGCTGTATTTTGTTTTATTGATCCCACAGAAAACAATTATTCATTCCTTCTTGATATAGCACAGAAAATGGACCTGATCAGATTAGTCACTTATGTTATCTTTTCTCTATTAGACTTGTTAAAGCAAACATATCCCTAATTTCTTGCTAATAAACCTCCAGCAAACTTTTAGGTAGCAATAAACAAAACAAGATCAGTCATCTGATCAAATTCTTCAGTTTGGTAGAGATGTCCTTGTGCCAAGTTGTGCAGATTTGGGTTGAAATGCTGGTTTCAAGCATCAAGTTGAGATTCTAAATCAGTGATTTATATGAGCTCTGTGGAGCTGCACTGCCCTCATGTGGTTCTGTCTGTGTCCTAACTTTGTACATTTAAAGGTGTTACAAACATTTTTAAGCAGAGACAGAATCAGAAAGGACCACTCAGGGCTACAAACAGATGAGATTAAAGCTCTAGAGACAACCGTCCAAATCTCTGGGTTCAGCTTAGAGCCAGACTTTGAGTCCTTCCATGAGTAACAACAAATAATCCTCAAAAACAACCAGACCTTTGTTTAATATTAAATAGTAATAAATCTAGTGAATATTGAGGCTGTTTTTTTTTTCTTTTCTTTTATCAGAGTTATTTCACGTTGAGGAATCTAGTATTTTTCTGAGTACAGAGCTTTGGTTTTCTTTTACTTGTCCAGTCTTCATCACTGTGACTAACTCTTCCTCATCTTCAGGCAAAGGTCCTGAAGTTCTTTATGCTGGACAAAAGCTCAACAACAACGAGTGGCACTCGGTGCGAGTGGTCCGCCGCGGTAAAAACTTCAAACTTATCGTGGATGACGACATGGCTGAAGGTACGTGTCTGACTGAACATACGGCTCTGTTCCGTGTTTATTCTGACATATACTGTTTTCTTCACCGATACTTTCCTTTGACTTGCTTTCAGGAGGACTGTGTGTAAAAATAAATCGTTCAATAGGGTTTATGAACTGTATGTGGCGTCGAGCTCCTTTTGATACTTTCCCATGAATAGTTTTCTACAAAACCACAGATGTGTGAAGTGTAACATCATGAAAATGATGAAAAATAGCAATGTGTGTTTTTCTTTCTATGATTATTTATTTTTCTTTACTGTTGAATAATGTGGGAAGTGAGAATTTGAGATCTTGGGAAACAGTAATAAAACCTCTGATATTTACTGTCCAAGCTGCCATTTGGGAAATGACCTGATTTGCAAACTTTTTTTGTGTGAACTTTCTTTTAATTGCACAGCTATAAAATAGGTTCCTACGTACAGTATATAGTTGAGAAATAAAAAAGAGAACATCACAGTGTGATCCAACAAGTATTTCTTGTTTAAGGAAGGAATATGAACAGTTAGAAAACCCACTGTCTAAATTACATTTAAAATACACAACTTCTGAACAAACAGTAATTAGTGCTAAGTTAAAACGTGACTGTGGCAGTATCACACAATGAAGCTACATGACAACCATGGTTAAACAACACGAAGAAATTACGTTAAACAGTAAAATAAACTGTCCAGATGACATGATTTAACCCTTTTTTGTGAGTAAAAACACTTTAGCTCTTCTTTAGGTGCATGTGATCACATACATCTGATTTTAATCAAAGTTTTACTGTATATATAACACACACACAAAAAACAAACAAACAAAAAAAACATTAAACAAAATCTCCAATATCGGCTACACAGACGTGCACACGTCAGCCAGGCACTGACAGTTTCAATATAAGACGTAAACGGCTGCCTGATCCTTTCAGAGTGTATCTAATCTTTTCCACATGAACATGACACATAACTTCTCTTATCCAGTGTTCATTTACCGGGGGATGCAGGTCCTTTGCAAACAATTTTAAGATGAAATAAAATCTGTATTTGTTTTGGTAAATCTTCTTTTGTGAAAGACCGAAAAATCTGAGCCCAAATTTGTCTCTAAAACAGGAGAGACATTCAGTTACAAACTGAAGTACAAAAACATAGTAAAGCCCAATTTACCAAAATAAATGTGCAGGTTTTATGTTAAGATTCACGTTAGAGAAAGAACTGTGTGTCTGTGTGGTAATTATTTAGACATGCTAGTTTTTAGTTCAACAAAGAGTGTTTTATTTACAGAGAAGCCCGTACTGTTCAACGTATTAGAAACCAACTAAGAATAATTACTTTAGTTTTCATCTGTGTAACTTTATGATCGTTTTGTGTAGAAAGCTGTTCAAAATGACTTTTAGTATGTGAAGAAGCTTCCCAACGGTCTCCCATACACACTGATTAGTTTGATCATAAGGAAGTGGGTTTCAGTGTCAACAGTATAAATATAAATTTAATAAATATTATCTTACCTGTTATAGATGGATAGCTTATTGAACAATGTTACTTTAATCAAATACATTTTTTTCTGTTATGACTTATAAGCTTACAGGTAGTCTGAATGTAGCTCAGTCAATTGGTGCCATCTTAAAACTCCTCTATATTTCAGGAATTTCATGCTTGTATTATTTTTAAACCTTATAATGTCATCAATTTCATATTTCATGGCCATTTCAGCAGAAATATGATGAAACATCTACTGGGTTTGACCCACTGGTTCCCCAGAAGAGTTTCTGCTACTGTTGCTATTTATACAAAGTTTGTTTTCTCAGTCATCCAGGTATATAACAACAAAAAAGGTTGAATCATGTCATCTGGACTTCGTTTTTTT